CAGTGGCCGGATCTCAGCTCACTGCAAGCTCCGCCTCCCGGGTTTACGCCATTCTCCTGCCTCAGCCTCCCAAGTAGCGGGGACTACAGGCGCCCGCCACCTCGCCCGGCTAGTTTTTTGTGTTTTTAGTAGAGACGGGGTTTCACTGTGTTAGCCAGGATGGTCTCGATCTCCTGACCTCGTGATCCGCCCGTCTCGGCCTCCCAAAGTGCTGGGATTACAGGCTTGAGCCACCGCGCCCGGCCAAAAAAAAGCTTTTTATCAAGTTACAAATTTTTTCTCCTCAGTGTAACTCTAGAAATTAATAAATAGGTGAGTTGAGTTGGAGGGTAGGTAGGAAGTCCCTAGGATTTGTTTTGCAGATAAGGAGCTTCTGGTTTCTGGGAAGGATGAACTTTTGTGATGTATGGGTTTCCAGGATAGAGCCTATTCACTCACTTGCCTCCCTGTTCCCAGTGACTGGCATTTTCTAGGCCTCTGCCTCTTAATTTTTTTTTTTTTTTTGATTTAGAATCTTGCTGTGTTGCCCAAGCTGGAGTGCAATGGTGTGGTCTCAGCTCACTGCAACCTCCGCCTCCCAGGTTCAAGCTATTCTTCTGCCCTCAGCCTCCCAAATACAGGCGTGTGCCACCACTCCTGGCTATTTTTTGTCTTTTTAATAGAGATGGGGCTTCACCATGTTGGACAGGCTGGTCTCGAACTCCTGACCTCAGGTAATCCGCCCGCCTCGGCCTCCCAAAATGCTGGGATTACAGGCGTGAGCCACCACGCCCGACTACACATGCTTTCTTATCTTGAATATACACCTTTGTGTTTCCCTATTAATAAGAGTTACAGTGTGTTACTTAAGTTAGTACAAATTAGAAAAAAAAAAGAATTGTAGTGCTTACTGAATAGCTTATGAAAAGAAGAGCGGTCTCAAAGCTCTTCTTCCTGAGCAGGGGCAGGATAAAATGTAGACCATTCTTAGCTTCTAGAAGAGCACCAGCAGCCCTTGCTTTTTGCACATTGGTCATGGTTTTGCTGTCTGTCTTTGTGTTTCAAGTTTGTGTCTATATGTATTTCATTCATTTGTCAACATGTCTCAGGATTTGTGGTGTTCTGGAATTTTTTTTTTTTTTTTTTTTTAGATGGGCTGTTGCTCTATTGCTCAGGCAATAGTGCGGTAGTGGGATTGTCTCACTGCAATCTTCGCCTCCCAGGCTCAATCGATTCTCCCTCCTCAGTGTCCTGAGTATCTGGGACCATAAGCATGCACAATCACACCTGGCTAATTTTTGTATTTTTGTGAAGGTGGGGTTTCACCATGTTGCCCAGGCTGGTCTCATACTCCTGAGCTCAAATGATTCACTCACCTCGGCCTGCCAAAGTGCTGGGATTCCAGGCATAAGCTACTGAACCTGGTCTGTGTTCTCACATCTTGCAGCTTCATTGTTGCATAAACTGGCAGAAAATTTTGGTTTACAGACTTGTTTTCCTCCAGAAAACAGTTCTTTTGAGGGAAAATACTAAGGCTGACACAGTATGTAACCATGGCAGGTTCGTAAACATATGACTGCATGAAACCTGGCATGATGTGCCTCAGGGAGGGTTCAAGAACATTTTTTCCTTTGCCTGTAATAATAACATAGTCTTTCTAGTTTGTCCTATGCAAAAATGCAAAGGAACATACATGATGCATTGGCCATTAATCTCTGAGCCTTAGTTTTCTCATCTATTAAGTTAATGTTGCCTCAACAGATGGAAGTGAGTGTTGAGGATGAGGATGTGTTTTTTTAATTTGCACTAGAAGCATGGGGACATCGTCTGTGGGACAGTGATATGTAGTATCTTTAACTTGGCAGTTCAGGTGTGAGTACATAATACCAGCTCATGGTAGGAAAATATATCCACTTTGAAAAGGCAGCTTATAGGTATCAAAGAACTAATGAAACTGGGCCTAGTGGTATGCACCTATAGTCTCAGTTTCTCAGGTAGCTGAGACAGGAAGATTGCTTGAGCCCAGGAGTTTAAGACTGCAGGAAAGAAACAACTAATGAAATGAAAAGGAAAAAACTAAAATTTGGTTTACATAGGATACAGGGCTCAAGGTCAACTTAAGCCAAAGACTTGTTTTATGGTATCTTTCTTGGTTACCTTTTGAGATTCTGATGCTACCCTGCTCCTTCCACCCCAAAATGAACTTCTTTAGAACTGAACTTATAAAACTTTAGTTTTAGAAATTATCAACTCCTGAAAAAAAAAAAAGTGGTGTCAATTTGACCCTCACTGGGCTAGACCCGGGTCATATTTTTAGGACTGGTGAGGGTTAAGGACCTCTAACTAACCATCCTAAGCTGAGAGTCGGGAATAGAATGCTCAGAAGGAAAAGACTGAATCAGGAAATTATACTCTCAATTGGTGGTGAGAGGGAGCACTTGGTTGAGTTTGACAGATGAAACTGCTGATTAACATAGTACGTCTTTAATTGTTAAGATTGCCCAGGTGCGGTGGCTCATGCCTGTAATCCTAGCACTTTGGGAGGCCGAGTCAGCCGATCACTTGAGGCCAGGAGTTCAAGGGCAGCCTGGCCAACATGGTGAAACCTCGTCTTTACGAAAGATACAAAAATTAGCTGGGCATTGTGGCTTGCTCCTGTAATTCAAGCTTCTGAGGCATGAGAATTGCTTGAACCTGGGAGGCGAAGGTTGCAGTGAGCCAAGATGGCACCACTGCACTCCAGCCTGGGTGACAGCGAGACTCCGTCTCAAAAAAAAAATAAATTGTTAAGATTGTCAGTAAGATGACTAAGTGAAGCGATAGGCAGGCAGTCAAAAGGAAAATGTTTGCAATGGGAGGTAGACAGAATTGCCTGGGATTCCGCTCAGGTTTTACTTGCTTAAACTGGGCCTGCAGATTAGAGATATTATATGAAATATAATATAATGAAAGGTTTTGAATCTCACAAGGGAGTCTTGATACAGAATATACTTTCTAGGTTTTTAGCTGGTATAGATTTTATGAAAGTGCCATTTGAGAGTGCCATATAAAAGATAGTAGAGCTGGTGGGGCACAGGAGCTCATGCCTGTAATCCCAGCACTTTGGGAAGCCAAGGTGAATGAAGCACCTGAGGTCCGGAGTTCAAGACCAGCCTTGCCAACATGGTGAAATCCCATCTCTACTGAAAATACAAAAATTAGCCGGGTGTGGTGGCACACACCTGTAATACCAGGTACTTGGGTGGCTGAGGCAGGAGAATCACTTGAACCTGGGAGGTGGAGGTTGTAGTGAGCCAAGTTTGCCCCACTGCACTCCAGCCTGGGGGACAATGAGACTCCATCTCAAAACAAAACCAAAATCCAATGTCAAATTTTCCATTTTTTCAATTTTTAAGTGTATAATTCTGTGGCATTAAGCACATTCACAATGTTATACAACCATCGCTGTTATATTCATCTTAAGCACAAATTCTGTACCCATTAAACAATAACTCCAGGCCAGGTGCGGTGGCTCACGCCTGCAATCCCAGCATTTTGGGAAGCCAAGAAGGGTGGATCACTTGAGGTCAGGAGTTCGAGACCAGCCTGGCCAATATGCTGAAACCCCATCTCTACTAAAAAATATAAGAATTAGCTGGGCTGGCCGGGCGTGGTGGCTCAAGCCTGTAATCCCAGCACTTTGGGAGGCCAAGACGGGCGGATCACGAGGTCAGGAGATCAAGACCATCCTGGCTAACCCGGTGAAACCCCGTCTCTAGTAAAAAATACAAAAAAATAGCCGGACGAGGTGGCGAGCATCTGTCGTCCCAGCTACTCGGGAGGCTGAGGCAGGAGAATGGCGTAAACCCGGGAGGCAGAGCTTGCAGTGAGCCGAGATCCGGCCACTGCACTCCAGCCTGGGCGAAAGAGCGAGACTCCGTCTCAAAAAAAAAAAAAAAAAAAGAATTAGCTGGGCATGGTCGCAGCACACGCCTATAATCCCAGTTACTCGGGAAACTGAGGCAGGAGAATCGGTTTGAACCTGGGAGGCTGAGGTTTCAGTCAGCTGAGATCACGCCACTGCACTCCAACCTGGGGGACAGAGTGAAACTCCGCTTAAAACAAAGCAAAACAAAAAAGCCCCAAAATAACTCCCCAATTTCCCTCTTTCCTTCTATTTTTTGAGGGATTTTTTTTTTCTTTTTTTTTTTTTTCAGAGACAGAGTCTTGCTCTGTCACCCAGGCTAGAGTACAGTGGTGCAATCTTGGCTCACTGCAACCTCTGCCTCCTGGGTTCAAGTGATTTTCCTGCCTCAGCCTCCCAAGAAGCTGGGATTACAGGCATCTGCCACTATACCCTACTAATTTTTGTATTTTTAGTAGAGACAGGGTTTCACCATGTTGGCCAGGCTGGTCTTGAACTCCTGACCTCCTGATCCATCTGCCAAAGTGTTGGGATTACAGGCGTGAGCCACCACGCCCGGTCTTTTTGAGGGATTTTTGTTGCTGTTAGCTCTTTTTCCTCTGTTAGGTAATCAGCTGCATTTTTTCCCTCCACTATCAAGATTCTAGCCTTTAGTAATATGTTATATGTTATTAATTTTTCTTTTCTTTTCTTTTTTTTTTTTTGAGAGAGTCTCACTCTGTCGCCCAGACTGGAGTGCAATGGCACGATCTCGGCTCACTGCTCTCAGGTGCAAGTGATTCTCCTGCCTCAGCCTCCTGAGTAGCTGGGACTACGGGTGCATGCCACCACTCCCAGCTAATTTTTTGTATTTTTCGTAGAGACAGCGTTCCACTGTGTTAGCCAGAATGGTCTTGATCTCCTGACCTCATGATCCGCCCACCTCGGCCTCCCAAAGTGCTGGGATTACAGGCGTGAGCCACTACGGCCGGCCTTAATTTTCTTGTTTTAATCTGTTGTTTGCTAAGAAACATTACCTAGCTTATTAAAATTCTACATATAATAAAATTTGATAGAGTTTCTTGTCCCTAAAGGCTTTCCTGTGCAGGGAAGAGGTGGGGTTTTGTGATGGCTGTTTCAACCATAAAAAGACCTTTTGTTTCCTCAGTTGCTAGACATTTCCCTAGACACTTGCTTATGGAAAAGCATTATGGATTTTAAGAAAGTAATAGATTAATAGTTGAATAACGAGAATAACGAGAAATAACGAGAAATGCTATATATCTGGTATTTTTTAAAAAGCCTTCATTGACTAGGTTCCACCACTAGTTAGTTTCCTTTTTAAAAGTTTTCCTTAGTGCTTTTATAGTATGAGGGAATTGCAGGAATAAGACTACAAACATCTTTTCAAAAACACAGCTATGGGCCGGGCGCGGTGGCTCAAGCCTGTAATCCCAGCACTTTGGGAGGCCGAGGTGGGTGGATCACGAGGTCAGGAGATCGAGACCATCCTGGCTAACACGGTGAAACCCCATCTCTACTAAAAATACAAAAAAATTAGCCGGGCGTGGTGGCAGGCGCCTGTAGTCCCAGCTACTCGGGAGGCTGAGGCAGGAGAATGGCGTGAACCCAGGAGGCGGAGCTTGCAGTGAGCCGAGATAGTGCCACTGCACTCCAGCCTGGGCGACAGAGCAAGACTCCACCTCAAAAAAAAACAAAAAACAAAAAACAAAAACACAGCTATGGACAAAGCAAGGTTCACCTACATGCACTAAAGTCTCCATGAGCTCAGATGGACCTGACAACTCTGCTTCATCAGTGTTTGTTTCAATATCCAAGATTCTTCTTTTACAGGTGCTTGATTTCACCACCATAGACTTGACATCTGAGACTGATGAGATTCCAGATATTATAGCTTTGGAAGAGGAGAACGGATCAAATCATTCACATGCTAATGACCCTGTCCTCTCAGGGCAAAATGTTGAATAACTAACAATAATAAAATACCCCTTTAGGTTGAATACGCAATTTGCATTACATTAAACTTCCTGTTTTTATTCCCGTGACTTTGAAGAGTGTTAATCTAGTTTTTTGGCTATATTGGTCTTAATTGCAATGACACTCTCATCTAAACTTTTGTAAGAGATCCTAGTTCTGTGTCATATATCATTTAATATAATTATTTAAAGTATAATTGCTGAAATACTTACAATAAAAATTGGGCTGTATAATCTTGACTTCATGATTTTTTTTCCCTCTGGTATAGTGAACATTTGTTGTCTTTTGGTCTCCCATGATTCATGCTTATTTTGAAGGTCTCAGTGGGTATAGTGGTCAAGGTTTTTGCTTTCCCTTAGCCTAGTGGTGGGCATGTGACTAAAAGCAGGTCAACTGGGAGGAAGCATAGCATGATGGGTAAGGGCTCAGACTCTGGTTTCTAATCTGACTCTGCCACTTACTGTGTGACCTTGAGCAAGTTACTTAATTTCTCTATGCCTCATTTTTTTTCATCAGTAAAACAGGAATAGTGTTAGGTTTGCTATGAAGATTAAACAGTTAACATTTATGAAAAGCTTAGAGCAGTGCCTGGCACAGAGCAACATTAACTATTAGTTGCCTATAATCCCAGCACTTTGGGAGGCCAAGGTGGGTGGATCACTTGAGGTCAGGAGTTTCTAGCCTGGCCAACATGGTGAAACCCCATCTCTACTAAAAATACAAAAAAAAAAAAAAAAAAAAAAAATTAGCCAGGTTGTAGTGGCACAGGCCTGTAATCCCAGCTACTCAGGAGGCTGAGGCAGAAGAATCGCTTGAACCCAGGAAGCAGAGGTTGCAGTGAGCCAAAATCATGCCACTGTGCTCTGGTCTGGGTGGCAGAGCGAGACTCTATCTCAAAAAAAAAAAGTATTAATTAAGGGAGTAAATTGTAGAAGCAATCTGCAGGCAGTGGCTCACACTTGTGATCCCAACACTTTGGGAGGCCAAGGTGGGATGATCACTTGAGCCCAGGAGTTCCAGACCAGCCTGGGCAATATAGTGAGACCTTCTCTCTATAACAAAAAGCCTTTAAAAAATTGAGCTGGGCATGGTGGCTCATGTCTGTAACCCCAACACTTTGGGAGGCCAAGGCGGGCAGATCACTTGAGGTCAGGAGCTCCAGACCAGCCTGGCCAACATGGTGAAACCCTGTCTCTACTAAAAACACAAAAATTTGTCAGGTGTGGTGGCGGATGCCTGTAATCCCAGCTACTCAGGAGGCTGAAGCAGGAGAATACCAGGCTAGCCTGGAATTCCTGGTCTCAAGTAATCCTCCTGCCTTGGACTCCCAAAGTGCTGGAATTACAGGCATGAGCCACTGCGCCTAGCTGCCAAATCTTAGAATGAGGCCTAGTGAGTGAGGACTAAACTCTGACCTTTTTTCTTTCTTTCTTTCTTTCTTTCTTTTTTTTTTTTTTTTTTTTTTTTTTTTTTTTTTGAGATGGAGTCTAGCTCTGTCGCCCAGGCTGGAGTGCAGTGGCCAGATCTCAGCTCACTGCAAGCTCCGCCTCCCGGGTTCACGCCATTCTCCTGCCTCAGCCTCCCGAGTAGCTGGGACTACAGGCGCCTGCCACCTCGCCCGGCTAGTTTTTTGTATTTTTTAGTAGAGACGGGGTTTCACCGGGTTAGCCAGGATGATCTCAATCTCCTGACCTCGTGATCCACCCGTCTCGGCCTCCCAAAGTGCTGGGATTACAGGCTTGAGCCACTGCGCCCGGCCGACCTTTTTTCTTTCTTGTCCAAATTCCTATCTATAGAACTTGGGGAGTCATGTCCTACAAGTCATAAAAATCTCATCAGATGGGTTTTGTTTAAGCCTATATAACCCAGCTTACTTTCCAACTTGACTGGCATAACATTGACAGATAAAGAAGGAAATTAAAATATTTTTTCCCAAAATATGTTTCTTTGTTATATTTTGAAATGGTCCTTCAAAACCGTCACTTATGGGGGGAAATCTACATCTGTAAAGAAACTGGCCGGTGGCTCACACCTGTAATCCCAGCACTTTGGGAGGCCGAGGCGGGCAGATCACCTGAGGTCTGGAGTTCCAGACCAGCCTGGTCAACACGGTGAAACCCTTTCTCTATTAAAAATACAAAAATTAGCTGGGCATGGTGGCGCATGCCTATAATCCCAGCTACTTGGGAGGCCGAGGCAGGAGAATTACTTGAACCCAGGAGGCAGAGGTTGCACGGAGCCAAGATGGCACCACTGCACTTCAGCCTGGGTGATAGAGTGAGACTCCATCTCATAAATAAATAAATACATAAATAGAATCTCTATTGAAATAAGTAGATCTTTCCCCTGGCAGGCCATCCCCATCCTGAAGAGATTAACTGAGAATCCAATACTTGCTCTGTCACCCATGCTGGAGTACAGTGGCATGGCATGTGATCTCAGCTCACTGCAACCTCTGCCTCCCGGGTTCAAGCAATTCTCCTGCCTCAGCCTCCCAAGTAGCTGGGACTACAGGCGTCTGCCACCATGCCTGGCTAATTTTTGTTTTTATAGCAGAGATTGGGTTTCACTGTGTTGGCCAGGCTAGTCTTGAACTCCTGACCTCAGGTGATCTGCCCACCTTGGCCGCTCAAAATGCTGGATTACAGGTGCGAGCCACTGTGTCTAGCGTAAATTTTTTTTTTTTTTTTTTTTGAGACAGGGTCTTGCACTGTTGCCCAGGCTGGCATGCAGTGGCATGATGTGGGCTCACTGCAACCTCTGCCTCCTGGGCTGAAACAATCCACAGCCTCAGCCTCCCAAAGTGTTGGGATTACAGGTATGAGCCACCATACCCAGCTTCTAGTACTTTTGGGTGGCCACCTATGAGACTTCATACTAACCCTGGTGTCCACAACCACTTATCTTGATAGACACTTTTCTATAGATTCTAGGTCTTTAGATAGTAACTTGACTCTTTCAACCAATAGCAATCAGAAAATCTTTGTTGTTGTTGTTGTTTTTTGTTTTGAGACAGTCTCACCGAATCGCCCAGGCTGGAATTCAGTGGTGCGATCTCAGGTTCCTGCAACCTCGGCCTCTCGAGTTTAAGCGATTCTCCTGCCTCAGCCTCCTGAGTAGTTGGGATTACAGGTGCGCACCACCACGCCTGGCTAATGTTTGTATTTTTAGTAGAGACGGGGTTTCACCATGTTGACCAAGCTGGTCTCAAACTCCTGACTTCAAGTGCCTCGGCCTCCCAAAGTGTTGGGATTACAGGCATGAGGCACCATGCCCGCGCCAATCAGAAAATCTTTGAGTCCACCTATGACCTGAATCCTCCACTTTGAGTTGCCTCACCTTTCTGTACAGAACCAATGTATACCTTACATGTATTGATCGATGTCTTATGTCTCCCTAAAACCGAGCTATAGCCCCACCATCTGGGGCATATGTTCTCAGGAACTCTTGAGACTGTGCCTCAGGCCATGGTCACTCATATTTGGCTCAGAATAAACTTCTTTAAATATTTTGTTAGAGGAACCCCTGCTTTCCAGGCCTCTGGTTTAATAAAACATGACTCAAGTGACTCCATCTTAAACTAGCTAGGCACTTACAAGGCTCCTATAAAATTAATGCTTATGGTCTAAAAACAGCCACATTCTAAGCTTGCCACCAATTATAATTACAGAATATTTATGGCCATACAGGACATCTCCCACTAAGCCTGCAGAATGTCCAGATGCTCTAAAGAGCAGCCCACTTAAAGATGATGTTAATGAGCAAGCATAGGTTGAAAGATTAATGGTCTCTGAAAGCACAATAGCCCCACCTTTAGTGAGCACATCTGCGCATTCCAAGTTTAATTACAGCTCTTTATAGTTTCTCATAAGTAGAGACAGTAACAAAGGACCGTGTGTTCCTCCGCCTCCTTTCTGAGGTTGCTCCGCTCTTCAACGGAGTAGTTTCCAATAAACTTCCTTCCTTCATTGTGCTCTGTGATTCACCTCAAATTATTTCCCACACAAGATCCAAGAACCTTCTCTTTGGGTCTGGATCAAGACTCTGTTTTTACCGGTAACAATTTTACAGAGTTTGACTCTTTGTTGTACAGGAGTCAGAGATTTTTTCTGTTGCTGTTCTTTTGCTTGGAGAAGGGTCTTGCTCTGTCACTAGGCTGAATGAAGTGCAATCGTGCAATCACAGCTCACTGCAGCCTCAGCTTCCCAGGGCCCACATGATTTTCCCACCTCAGCCTCCTGCGCAACTGGACCACAGGCTGCACCACCAGAATGGAATCAGAGATCTTACAATGACCTCCACAGTGAAAAGCTATGCATAAACTTCAAAAAGTGGTTTTAGGCTGGGCGCGGTGGCTCATTCCTTGGGAGGCCAAGGTGGATAGATCGCTTGAGCCCAGGAGTTCGAGCCCAGCCTGGGCAACTTGGTGGGTTCTCTCTCTCTCTCTCCTCTCACTCTTTTTTTTTTTTTTGAGACAGAGTCTCACTTTGTCGCCCAGGCTGAAGTGCAGTGGCAGGATCTTGGCTCAATGCAACGTCTGCCTCCTGGGTTCAAGCGATTCTTCTGCCTCAGCCTACCGAGTAGCTGAGCTGGGATTACAGTCATGCGCTATCACGCCCGGCTAATTTTGTATTTTTAGTAGAGACCGGGTTTCTCCATGTTGGTGAGGCTGGTCTTGAACTCCCCGCCTCAAGTGATCCACCCACCTTGGCCTCCCAAAGTGCTGGGATTATAGGCTTGAGCCACCGTGCCTGGCCTCTTTTTATTAAGGTGGTTTTAGTGAGGCAGGAGGCAATAATTGCCAGAGGTAGCAATGAGACTTAAAAGCAGGTTACCTAATCCATTTCGAGGCCCTGTTGTCTATGGGGTTTGTGGTAGGCAACAGCCGACAGTTAAGAGAACTGCAGGCGGCCGGGCGCAGTGGCTCACGCCTGTAATCCCAACACTTTGGGAGGCCGAGGACGGCGGATAATCTGATGTTAGGAGTTCGACACCAGCCTGGTCAACATGGTGAAACTGTCTCTATTGTGCTTTCAGAGACCATTAAAAATACAAAAAATTAGCCGGGCGTGGTGGTGGACGCCTGTTAATCCCAGCTACTCTGGAGGTTGAGGCAGTACAAATGCTTGAACCCGGAGGGCGGAGGTTGCAGTGAGCCGAAATCTCGTCACTGCACCCCAACTTGAGCAACAAGAGCGAAACTCCCGTCTCAAAAAAAAAAAAAGACTGCAGGGGGAGT